ACAAAACCTGAGCCTTTCAGGAAGGGGCTTAGTAAATACATCCTATTTAGAGCTGAGTGCTGCAGGTCTCCCTCTCTGCACATTGTCTCCTTGTGGGTTTCTGTGTCAATTCCCATCTACTGCAAGAAGAAGTTTCCCTGGTAAGGACTGAGTGATGTACTGAGGCGAAGCCAAGTGTGGCAGCTAAACAAGGAAATAAAATTAAATAAAAGAGGCACATTAAAGCTCATCTTCATAGGAGGACAATTAATAACTGGGGGATTAATTATTAACGTTCTAACTTTGTGTGACCACTAGATCTGTCACACCGTCATTTCTACTTCTACTGTAAAAGATGTCTGTGTGTGGAGGTTGAAGGTATCTTTGTGGAACTGACTTTTTTTTTGATCCTGGGGATTGAATTCACGTTGTCAGGCTTGCACCCTCAGACAGAAAACACCTTTACTAGCTGAGCCATTTTGCCAGGCCAGTGTGTTATTACACTCTGACCTACTTCGTTCTCCATCACCACTGTCCACACCTGTGCCTCCCGCTTCATTCCCACTGGTGACTTCCTTCTGTGTGATGTACTGCCCCTAGCTTTCATGCTGCAGGTATCCCAAGTCAAAATTAAACTAATGTAAGTGACATGAAATATGAGAACAGATACCATGCATTGTAACTACCATATGACAAACAATGGCATGTTATCATTGCTCAAGGTTGTACAAATTTGAAAAATCACAGTGTATACCACATGTATGCAAATTCTTCCATTCCTTTGAGTATTAGTAGGCATTTTATAGCTTCCTACACTAATTGAATGTCCTAGTTAGCATTTCTATTATGACAAGAAACACCATGGCTGTAAAGCAAGTTGGGACAGGAACTCACGATAGGGTAGGATACTGGGGCAGGAACTGAGTAGAGGCCATGGAAGGGAACTGCCTCTTGGCTTGTTCACCCTGCTTTCTTATAGATCCCAGGACCAGCACCCCAGGGAAGGAACTACCCACCCACCATGGGCTGGGCCCTTCCCCATTAATCACTAATTGAGATACTGTCTTATAGCTTGAGGCATTTCCTCAAGAGAGGCTCCTTTCTGATGACACTAGTTGTGGCAAGTTGACACAAAAACATCCAGTGCACTGGTGGAGCTTCTGATTGGGCCAAGTGCAAAGCGGAGTAACTTGTGGCTGAACGGGGTTTAATCTGTCTCATTGGCATTGAAAAGTGAACTCTGACTCTCATACATTAGAAAACCAGTAAGTGGGCAATATTCACTCTTATATGAGGCTCAAGGTGCCCTGCCCGTAACCAGAGACATGCACTTTAAGATCCCTGAGCTTTAGATCCCACATCTCTAGAGCCCAAAGTCTGGTATTCACATACATGTATTCACACGTATTGGAGATAGTAATGATTGATGGGTTTTCAGATGGACCACCTCCCTCCCAGACAATCTTGTCAACTTTCAGGAACAGGATTTGTGGGCTGTTAATTACAGTTCATGGATGCAGAACACACATAGGACAAACCTATCATCCTTTGTGATGAAATTGAAGGATAAGGGCTGTAGAGATGCTCAGTGGTTAAGAGCATTGCCTGTTCTTCTAGATGACTTGGATTTAATTCTGAAAACCCACATGGCAACTCACAACTGTCTGTAGCTCTAGTCCTAGGGAATCCAACTTGCTCTGACTGTGGGTCATTCAGAGATTCACCAGTCTGACTCATTTTGGTGTTAGTAAATTAGAGACTTTTATTTAAAAAAAAAAAAAAACTAGCAGGATGGAACCAGAGAAAGTTCTCTAGGTAAGGCCCTGGCTATTGTCAGTCCAAGGTTTATAAAGGTAAAACCCACAATTCTATGATTTTGGAGAGCCAAATTAACTCACTCTGTCTGGAGCCTCACCCATTCAAGCAAGGAAGTATTTCATACCAAAGTGGCACTTGGAAGTTAGACTGTTTAATGTTACGACTATAACTTTGTAAGAATAGTTGAGGCAGTGAAATATTTTGCATAACCAGCAGTTTGGAAGAACAGCCCAATTATACCAGGAAGTTGTCTATCTCAGGCTAGTTGACAGGGTAAATTCAAGGAGTAACTTCCTCATGGCTTTTAAAAGCTAAAAGCAATTTTTTTTTACAAGTCTAGCACAGTAAATTATCCTCTAAACAAAATGTTTATCATCACACTCTTCTTACCAGGAAAGAACACACTGTCTCCTTACAGACAAATACTACTAATATAAAATACATAATTTAAAAAAGAAATTGAAGGGCAAATGAATAAAGCTAGAAGAGCCAGGCATGGTGGCTCACAACTTTATTCCCAGCACTGGGGAGGCAAAGGCAAGTTGATGTCTGTGAGTTTGAGGCCAGCCTGGTCCATAAAGTGGATTCCAGGAGCTCTGTAGGGAGACCCTATCTCAAACAAACCTAACCCAAAGAAGCAAATACCCAACAAGCTAGAACAGCAAGCATGTAACTTTAGTTTTTGTTTGGAGCTATAGTTTCCAGGGAGGCTGATGAGAGGGTTAGAGAAACCTCTCTGTGTGCGCCTGCTGCCACCTCTGAGGTGAGAGGAATGAGCCCAGCCCACCCCTGCCAGGTGTTTGTAGCCATGGGGATCAGACCCAAGACCTCTTGTAGGCTTGTAGGCCATTCTCTGTGAACTGAGCTAATCCCTCAGCTCTACCATTGCTCTACATTCATTAATACTCTCAATGACTTCAGATAGGAACTGTCAATGGCGTTTTATGAGAAACAAGTATTTACACTTGTGGGCATTTTTCATGGCATACTCAAGTCCCAGAATTTTGATGCAGTTGCATATAATTTGAATTTAAGTTCTGGAACTTTAGCCTTGCAAAAGTAGGTGGTATTTTTCCTACTTAAATTCTTAATAATTTTAAAATAGAAAATTCATGGTAAAGTAACTAACCAAACAGTAGGTGTAGTAGTAGTAGTTTAAGAGTTTGAATGTTTGGTTAAAGGACAAAACTGAAAAATGGGAAATTTTTAAAGAACTTTTTTCTTTCATAGTGCAACAGGGAAGTAAAAACAAAATTATAAAGCATGCAAGGGACCCACTCTTGGATGCCAGGGCAAAGGGCGGGTCACACATGCATATTGTTAACAGTGCTAAAAGCATCTGATATAAAGTAGAAAAACCAAGTTTCTATGACCTGTCAGAACATACAGACAGTACTGTTCCTTCTGCTGGCACAGAAGCATTGCCCAAGAAGCAATGGGAAGACGTCCATGCTCTCTCAGACAGGCCGAGGTGATCCCATTAAGTGTCTCCTTCACCTTAGAATTCAGCCATTGCAAATGACTCCTGTCCTATTGGAGAAGGAGACACCAGGAATGAAACGATGTAAAGGAGCTCTGCCTCCCTGCTTTGGCTCCCTTGATTCAGAAGATGAAAAGTTCTATGCTCCCCATTCATTCCTCTGCATCCCTGCAGTTGGTGCTGCTGCAATAGCCCTGGGAATCAGTTATCTCAAAAATAAGATGTGTACCTATCTGTGCCTCTTTGAAGGGCCATTGTTAACCCATTGGACCCAGAGCTGGTAATAATTTTCCTAAGAGGGGAACATGAGCAGAATAGGGGTCTAGTCACTATACAATACTTAGGGATTTAAAGCAAACCATCTCCTCTCACAGACCTACACCTCCATGTATGATGGGATTGCTGAGATAGCTGAGATAGAGCAACTCTCCCCCATGACTGAGGCAAGCTGGCCAGGACTTGTTTGAACCAGCTGAATTCCTTCATTTCAGGACTTAGTGGCATGAAGAGACTGTTTCTCAGTCTGATCTTACAGAGATGTTATTAGAAACGTCATCCTTTGACAGTGCTAGTAGAGAATGCCAATGGGCTCTACACTCAGTTCAAACAGCTGAAGGCCTTTGAGAAGATTACATAGGAGCCTGCAATGACATTGGGTCGCCAAGCCCGCTTCCTCTGAGACAGGACATTCTTCATGTTCCTGGGACTCCTCTCCTTATTCCTTACCAAGCTTGGACACTTGTGCTTTTGTTTCTAACTGTCAGTTGTAAAGATGCAGATGCCATCACTTTCTAAGTTCCTTAGATGTCTGGTTCAAATGCCCTTTGGGTATGGATAATGTTAAATAATATATTGCCATGTGCTGTTTCGTCTCTGAGGTGGGATTTAGCCTGCCATCTTCAGACCCAAGCATTTTTGTCTCAAAGGTTCTTTCAAGGCTCCACAACTCAGTCTGACTAACAAGAAGAATTAATACTTTAAAACACGACTACTGTGTTAGGAGAATTAAAATGAAGGAACTTCAAACAAAACATAAGCTGACACTAATTATTTACTGCTAAAACATCCTATCGATTGTTTACTAAACTGATTTGGAATGAAGCAGAGGTTACATATTGTGGTAGTTTGTATGTAATTGGCCCCCATAAGCTCAGGGTGAGTGGCACTATCGGGGTGTGGCTTTGCTGGAGTAGGTATGGCCTTGTTGGAAGAAGTGTGTCACTGTGGGGTGGTCTCATATATGCCCCAGCCACAGCCAGTGTCTCAGTACACTTCCTGTTGCCTGCCAATCAAGATGTAGGACTCTCAGCTCCAGCTCCATGTCTGTGTGTCCACTATCATGTAGTAACCCTAACTAAGATGTATACCAACACATCTCTGCCAACGGATGCCATCAGCAGGGTGCTGAGACCTTCTCCAGACTGTGGACAGATTCTGATGCATTTCAGGTTCAGGTTAAGCAGGTTCATCTTCGCATGCTGTTTGTGGCTTTTCCTGGGAAGACACAAAATAAACATCCAGTCACCCTAGGCAGGGCACCAATGACGGAGCAAAGTTTCATGAACAAATGAGATTACCTAGATAACTTATAGAAACCTGAGGGATGAGTGACTTAAATGAGAATGGACAAGTCAAAGGCAGATGTGCCACTGCCATGACCACATCAGCATGGGGGATAACTCACAAAAGCTACAGCCCCTAATTTCTCTAAGTTACCTGTCCTCCAGACATCTCAGCTGCTCAGCCTCCTCTCCTTAGTGTTTGATACTGCCTATGTCACCTCGGGAGAAAGGGACCTGGTGAATCTTATAAGTTTCAGGGACTTCTTGACACTTGTGAGTTTACTTCCTGTGTACTAATGCACCTCCCTCCGGGATGGAAATGTTTCAATTCAGAGGATAAAGATACAAAACACTCCAACTTTCCTACATCTCTTACATTCTTTCAAGCCACCTCTTCCAGAACATTCCCTGAGGTTTAGATGGATGGCATAGATGTCTGATTATTTTCCTCCATCTGTGATTGAGCATTGGATCGAATGTCACAATAGTCACTTAGTCTCAGGAGTTCAGGTGGCTTTGTGGCACACCACTGTAAAGAGGAAGATTCCTCCCATGGCAGACTGTAGTTGACAGAAGCAGTGACCTATGGGCATAAGCACAAATATGCAGGAGACAGTTTGATAAGGTCACACCCACTCAAAAAACAATAGCGGTTGTTTGCCCAATGAGGGCTGGGACTCCTCACCCACGGGCTTTCCCCTGGCTTACAGTAGCAGACACGAATTCCTTCCTGTGGAGTAGGCCTAAAATCCAATCAGGAAGTTGTTGGTTGTATTCACCGTAGTCATGCCACCTTGGCACTAGCAGGCATCTTGCCTGACACAAAGCCAAGCAGCCAGCATGGAGCCTTGGGGAACTAACTATCCAGCTCCATCACAGTTGTGTCCTGCAACCCAAGCACGTGTCATCTTCAGCAACCGGGTTTTACCATATGGCTCTGGTGTATACATTATAGCAGGGACAAGAGCCTTTGCGTTTGGGAAGGCTCTGGGGCCTTCCTCACCATAGTTCTGGTACTGAACATTTTATCCAGCCACGTTAAGTCTTAAAATGTGTGCCTTTTAATTCAAATGCCTCAATTTTCATCTTAATTGTACTTCTAGTTCTTTTAAAATATTTCTTAAGACATTCAATGGTGAGCAATACATAAAGAAATCTTTTAACACAGTGTAGACAGGATCCCTGAAGGCTCACCATTATCCGATCCAAACAAATGCATTTGATCTCGGGCAATCAGGGGGATACTATGAAAGTCTTGTAAAGTCCAACAGTTAAAGACCTAACTGCTTTCATCAATTGCTCCGTCATAAGAGACATGATGGTACAGCAGCACGGATGCCAGCAACTACTTCATTTAACTCATTAAGCCAGCATGGTTCTCCAGGAGCTATTTGGCTGTACAGGTTGTTGGCAGACTTCAAGCTAGGAGAATAATCTCTATGCTTTGGTTTCTGAAAGTTCATCATAGCACCCAAGCAGTCTGCACTGTTGGTACCCCATCCTACTAGGAGTAGCCGACTTTTCAGGTTCCTTGAGCATACATGACTCCTTTTACACGTTGTACCATCAGAGAAAAGAACATTATGCATGGTGTGTCCCAGCAAAAAAGGCCACCCTGAGAATGTTCCTCAGTCACATAGATGAATTCCTTAATTTCCATGCCATAATGGCAATTCCACCTGAAAGCACTCAGTTTACACAAACTGATATGTTCGCTCACAAATTGCTCATGTATGAAAATTTGAATGTTTTACTCAGTGTTCACCTATTAATTAATGGCTGACAGGCTTGTGCCACATGCCTACAGTCTTAGCATTCAGCAAGATGGAGGGGTGTAGCCTGCATATAATAGGCTTTCTGACAATACCCTGCTGTTGAACTCTCTTACTATAAAATTTTGTTTACCTCACTCAGCAATGCCTCTGCCTGTCCAAGGAATGCTGCAAGAAAGGTGTGTCCTCCCTTCCTGAGCAATGCAGTTTAGTGTTTTTTGAGGACAATATGCAAGCAGCTTCCATCTGGCGATAGTGATGAGAAATACTAAGCGAGTTTATCAGTGTTTTCTGTCCATGCTTTGACTCCGAGATAAGCATGTCAGTTAAGCTGGTCTTGAGCAGCATAGCCTTGAGGCCCCTTGGTTCTGTTGAATCTCAAATTCAACTTCAGTTGTCTGTAACCAGTCACTGATGGACATCAATTCGTGGTCCCTGAAACAGGGCTATGACAGATGCATATGGACTCTACTGAGGAACACCAGAGAGGTATGTGGTTTTTTAATCTTACATAGAGCATACTCTAGGATCCAGGATACCCACATGTCAAACTAAAAGCAAAAACTCATTGCTCACAACGATAACAACATCACAGGCTAAAGTGTTACAGAAATAATATGCATCCCCATTGAGGAGGAGTCGCTCTACATTAGAGGTTAATTAAAGAAAAGCTCTTTAATAGTGTTTGTCTGGCTAGACTAATACCCAAGGAGAGTTGGACATGAACAAAAGAATTTACTTGTGTACATACACTTTATAATTACATATTCCACAATTTTGGTTCCTGGCCCCAGGTCACTTGAATCTAAACAGAGACAGGAGATTTGCACAGCATAAATCTTCTATATTGCCAGAAATATTTTAAGCTTACCAATGTTTTTTTTTTTTTTTTTAAAGTATTTTGGAATAGTTGTTACTAAGGGTCATCTTGCCTAACTGAAAGAATTATGCTTTTTTGATAAGAGAACAGGAGACTTAAAAACAGACCCCAACTTAATGACAGCTGTGACCCTACACTGCCCCCCAAGAATTGCCCTTTAAATGTATGTCTTTGGGAAAGGTAATCAGAGTCTAATGGCTGGTTTTAAGTCAATGCTGTTTCTTTTGTCATGAGAATGGAGTCTAATGGCTGGTCAGCCCTGCTAAATAAAATTCACATCCTAACATCCTAAAGCCCCCTTATTCCCAACATGCCTAGTTAGCACACTAATCTTCAGAGTAATTGGGAGGCAGTTTTCCCTTAGCTAAATTCTACTTGTATTACTTATTGTCTTCTAAGCACATCTATTAGTATGTTTTTTCTAGCATCAATATTATTACTTTGAATTTCTTTCTTTTCTTTTCTCTTTTTTATTAGACAGTGATGGCAAAGTTTCTGTCCTGCCTGGTCCCGCAGCTGTTTAGTCCCAAATAAACACACATACTTGTATTAATTACAAACTGTTTGGCTGATGGCTAAGCTTTTTAGTGGTTAGCCCTCTCTTAATTATTAACCTATTTCTACTAAACTATGTATTGCCACGAGGGTGTGGCTTACCTGTAATGCTCTGGTATGTTACTCCTTTGGCAACTGTTACTCCTTTGGCAGCTACATGGTGTCTCTCCCCCTTGTGACTGCTCCCTGCCTTCCCTCTTCCCAGAATTATCCTAGTCTGGTAGCCCTGCCTATCTTCCTGCCTGGCTTCTCGCCAATAAGCATTTATTCATCAACCAATAAGAGGAACATCATACAGAAGGACATCCCCCATCAAGTCAGGGTTTCTCTGTAAACCAGGCTGGCCTTGAAGAACTCAGAGATCCATCTGCCTCTGCCTTCTGAGTGCTGGGATTAAATGTGTACAGCACCACTGCCAGGCAAGTTTCTTTTTCATCAAAAGTACAAAAACAAGATTTCTGTGACCTTCACTATATAGACAAATACTATTGTTGGCTGCCAGCACAGGGAACATTGTCCAGAAAGCATTAGAAAGATATTTGTGTTGTTTTAAACAGGCTCATGGGCAGGGAGAAATGAGCCCATTAAATGTCCGATTTTGTAATCTCTGGGCTGCAGCATACAGCCATTGCAAATGACTCCTGTACAAGGAGACACCATGGGACAGGACAGGAAATGAGAAGATGCACATGAGCCCTGCCTTAAGCTCTGCCTCCTTTGCTGTCTTTTGACTTTTGATGATTTGAAGACAAAAAGGTCTCTGCTTGATGCTCCTCTGCATCCCCGTGCTCCCGCATTAGCCCAGGACTTGGTTAGCTCAAAAGTGAGGAGGTTTTAGAGGCACACCTAACCTCATCGCCTGCAGCCCTGGTGACTTCTAACCCGTTAAGACCTAGAGTTGGTGATAATTTTCCTAAGAGGGAACATGAGCAGACTAGGGATGTAGTCCCTATACGATACTTAGGGATTTAAAGCAAACCATCTCCTCTTACAGACCCATATCTCCATGTATGATGGGATTGTTGAAAGGGACAGCTGAAACAGAGCAACTCTCCCCCATGACTGGGGCAAGCTGGCCAGGTGCAGTAGTTTGAATGTAACTGATCCCCATAATCACAGAGGGAGTGGCACTATTAGGAGGTGTGGCTTTGTAGGAGTGGGTATGAACTTATTGGAGGAAGTGTGTCCCTGTGGGGACAGGCTTTGAGGTTTCCTATGCTCAGAATACTGCCTAGAGTCTCAGTCCATTTCCTGTTGCCTTCTGATCAAAGATGTAGCCAGCACCATGTCTGCTTGCATGCTACCATGCTCCTGCCATGCATGATGATAATGGACTGAACCTCTGAACTGTAAGTTGCTACCTCAATTAAATGTTTTCCTTTATAAGAGTTACCATAATCCATTTTCTCAGAAAATTGGGAATCAATTATCTAAGTACCTCAAGACCCAGCAATACCACTCATGGGTATACACCCAAAGGATGCTCATAACACAGGACATTTGCTCAACTATGTTCATAGCAACTTTATTTGTAATAGCCAGAACCTGAAAACAACCTAGATGACCCTCAACCAAAGAATGGATAAAGAAAATGCAGTATATTTACACAATGGAACATTACTCAGTGGTTTTAAAAAATGACATATTGAAATTCAAAGGCAAATGAAATGGACAGAACTAGAAAAAAAAACCATCCTGAGTGAGGTAACCCAGACACAGAAAGACAAACACAGTATGTACTCACTCATAAGTAGATATTAAACATAAAGCAAAAGATACCCAGAGTACAATCTACAACCCCAGAGAAACCAGGTGACAAGGAGGACCCTGAAAGAGATATACATGGATACCTCCCCCTCCCTAAGAAGAGGAAATAGACAAGATCTCTTGAGCTAACTGGGAGTGTGGGGGTGAGGGGAGAGTGGTAGGTATGGGGGGGGAAGGGGGAGGGAGGAGGAGAACATGAGGGATAGGGAAGGTCGAGTTGGGAAGGACAGAGAGGAAGAGCAAAGAAAGAGGCACCTTGACAGAGGGAACCATTATGGGGTTATCGAGAAATCTGGCCCTAGGGAAATCCCCAGGGATCCACAAGCATGATCACAGATCAGAATCTAAGCAATAGTGGAGAGGGTACCTTAACTGCCCTTCCCCTGTAATCAGATCAATGACTGCCTTAAGTAACGTCATAGAACCTTCATGCAGTAACTGATGGAAGCAGATGCTGAGATCCACAGCTAAGCATTGGGCCAGTCTCCTAAAGTTCAGTTGTAGAGAGCAAAGGGGTCAGACTGTGCTGGGGAAACCCACAGAAATAGCTGACCCAAGCAAATGGGAGTTCACTGACTCCAGACTGACAGCTGGGTAACCTGCATAAAA